TTCGAAACGAAATAACTGAACAAGTGAGAGTTTTGGTAGACCCGTCTGGAATTTTCCCACTGGACTTACACCGATCTAACGTCCTAACAACGACTTTAACTTTTAGTTTTTTTAAACAAATTCAAGGTATATTCCCCAGTTACTCTGTTTTTAGAAGTTTTTGTGCTCAAGGGTCGAATTTTTCACATGACTGTTCTTACACATTGGTTTCGCTGTGTTTAGTTTAAACAGAGTTCCAGACCGTAATTTGTAAAACTTTGATGTTTTAGTCGATAGATTTCTACGTCCGGAATGCGCTGGAACTGTGGCACTTTCTAACTACTCATCCAGACGTTGAAAACATCATTGTGCCAAAAAGTCTATTCGCAGGTGATAAAACTACCCACCAGGTGAATGAGATAGAGGAGAAACAAAGGCTTCTTTCACCATTTAAAATGGATATGCTAACGCTTCTGGATCATTTATACACTTCTTCGTTTGCTGAACTTCATTACAGTATTAAAGGACTCAGAAATATAAGAAGACTAACCGAAGAGAGACTTTCGGTTTGTGGGGAATTGAAATCCAGTATTGAATTACTTGGCAGAGAGTACGACACAATGAAGCAGCAGACGGAGAGAAAGGTATCTCGCTACATTATAATGAAATATAATCCCACGATTGTAATTGAGGCCAACCAGGCAGGAAGTACATTTAGCTGCTTTGTAGATATGCAAAACTGATGGTGGATGTTGTAAATTTGACTTAAAGTTCCACATAGTTCGCAACAAGTTTTGTTTTATAGTTTTTAATCAGCTGCATTTGTATTGTTTGTTGAAGTCTGGTATGTGCATTCCGATGCCATTTTAGATGGAAGCCTTGGATACACGAATTAGGACTTTACGGAGGGCCTTCGAGGAATTAGAGGAAGAGTTTACAGACTCTATTTTTAAAATAAACTCCAAAGGAGTAGAAGATTATGAGGAGGCGATAAAACAGTCAGAAAGTGGGTGTGGAAGTTGTTTTGTAATCCCAATTATGAATATCGAACGTAACACGAACTTAGCCTTGAATTTATTTAAAATACACAATTAGCTTGCATGGAGTGATCAATATGTGGTCACACAAATGAGAACCAAAAGACTTCCAACAAAACAGCCCAACTAAAGTTGCCCAAGATTTCGACTCCCAATTTAGCGACATCTAGTTCACCAGTTATGCAACGCTGATTAATATGCTAGAAGGCTAAAAATCTACTACTGCACCATTTCCTAAACGACATCGTAACTATCGCTGGCTTAGTCAAACTATTCATCTCATTTGAAAAGTCTGAAGCCATTAGGTCACCTTATTCAGAATCCGTCCCATTATGCTGAATGTAGGCTTCTTCTAGTTCGACAGGAACATTTGAAGGCGTTACTAACTCTAACGAAGGAGAGAGCTTGTGATGAAATAAAAACTGTTAGGAAAGAGGTGAAGAGTACCTGGTCTAGGAAGTACAAACTGGAAGGCGTTATGGAGTCTCAAATCGCCTCCTACGATGAAGAGATGACCGCTCTGCAGGTCAGCCATTCGTGCACTCAAACTTATTTGCACTGATAATGGTCAGAATACGCTAAAAAGGACCAGCGAGGTGGTTGATAACCACTCGATGGCTTCCCAGATTCATCGAACTCAAAACGTACCTTTATTCTGGGAGTTGTCGTTAGCTATTTTATTCTGCTTAAATTTATGTGCAAGTGACTATATTATTTTGCCATAAACTGTGCAAAAATATAATCCTTACCTTGATGTACATAAACACAAGACCAACCTTTACTATCCGGATTGCACTAAATTCCTATATCTAAGAGCGCATTTCGCTTATTTCTGGACGTTGTAAGATTTTGCATCTTCACAATAAAAAAATGAAATACGATTGAGATGTGCACTCATTTTAGCAAAAATCAACTCAACTACTCTTCCGATGGAAAAGCACTTGCATTATCTCTTGAACAAATTACTCATAACCACTGACATTTTTTGCAAAAGGGCAAGTATGATGAATTGAAAAAGGCGTTCGATAGCGAGAAAGAGCAAATGGATAATTATCAGACGAAGATGGCGGTAAGTCTGAGACACTACTTGAGTAAAATGACAAGCAATTTTCTTTTAAGAAGACTATCTTTCAGAACCTTTCTACAAGGCAAGCACGGGACAATCTTACTGACTATGCGCCTTGATACGGGGCGTTCTTTGCTCTTTGCTCTTCAGCATGATTCTGAGAAAGACCAAAACCTAGGTTAACTAGCTAGTAAACAGGAATTACGGTTAATTGAAAAGTCAATTACGCGACCCAGTGTGAGCACATTTGCGTCCACTGCCACATGTTCCTCCAAGTGGGAGCAATGATTGATTCAATAAGATTTTATAGAAGTAACACAACTAGATTTTCCTATCTTTACAAGGCTCTGTGGGTCGACCATGAAGAGATGTTAACTCAGAAGGAGGCAGAAAGGGAGCGAAAAAGAGCGGCGGATACACGTGACGCCGCAGTGACAGAGGCCTGCAAGGTGATCGAAACTTATGCTCGTGCCTTCCTCGCTCGTAGGGCTGCAGCCGCCCCTGCCACATCTCGCAGACGCCGCCGAGAGGAACGTTAACACAACCGACCAACAGCAAAATGTGATGCAATTCATTAAATACATCATTAAACAGCGTCAGCAAGAGCAATAACGATAGAATTGTTTTTAATGACAATGGCAGTATACGGTCGTGGAGTAAAATTAAAGGGTTAGGATA